CCGTGCAACAAAATCAATTTTGTTATTATTGTGTGTTCTATATTATTGTGAGGAAGAGCGCCAGCTAGATGGGTTGACCAACTCAAGGAGGTGACTGGAGGCCAGATATGGGGAGCGGTACATATGGCGCAGAACCGGACCGAGTGGAGAAGATTGACATACAGTCACGATCCTCAGCATTGAGGGAACGACCAGAAAGAAAAGTGTGTTCTATTATTTTTATTGAAATATTATACCTTCAAGATGACATCTCAATCGAGCCTCCTGCCAGTTAGCCGGGATCTCCTGAAGCTTCAACCACCCGTTGATGTCCCTGAAGTATGTATAGTCATATCGAAACTGTTGACCGTCTAGTGTAGAAAAACAAAACAATAATCATAAATCACATCATGTGTTTATATTTAAATGTGAGTCACGCCTCGTAATGTTTTATTGACATTCATGAAGGGATAAGGAGGAAGGAGGAATGGAGTTTTAATAATAAATAATAATTTTCAAGGCATTTACGTTTTTGATGTTTATGGGCTCCGGTAAACACTTACCAGTTGGGCCGTGGGCTCGTCTACCCATCGAAGCAAGAAAAAAAAGATATTGTAATAAATCAGATTTGCAACAATTTGCGGAAACAAAATCAGCAGAAAAACAATCGCTTTATTTCTAAGCCACAAAAAATATAAAATAAATAAATAAATAAATATTTACTAACAATCACGCCACGTTAACTGGTCCCGTGATAAGTTCGTAAAGAACTTGTGTTACAGGTACCAGATAACGGAAATAAATGTAAGATTTTTTATTATACACATATATATATTTAATATACATCCATAACCCTGGAAAAGACATTTATATTTACCATACAAATATCTGCCCTTGGCGGGATTCGAACCCGCGACCCCCTTGTGTAGTGACATGTCACTTACCACTACACCAGACGGCCGTATATAAATATAAGATGATTAAAGCATTTTCGATCCTCACATGTAACCAACGTAATCCCTCACGACCTAAAAGCATTTCGACCGGGCCCTGTTTCTGTAATTGTTCATTTAATAACTGTGAACAAATCACCATAACCACAGTCACCCGGACACAAATTAGGATTCCCTGTGTTATGGATACTGACTTTTTACTGGTGGTAGGACCTTTCGTCAGTCCGCGCGGGTAGGTACCACCGCCCCGCCTATTTCTGCCGTGAAGCAGTAATGCGTTTCGGTTTGAAAACTGGGGCAGCCGTTGTAACTATACTGAGATCTTAGAACTTATATCTCAAGGTGGGTGACGCATTTACGATGAAGATGTCTATGGGCTCCAGTAACTACTTAACACCGGGTGGACTGTGAGCTCGTCCATCCATCTAAGCCAGCCTTTCTCAAAGTGGGCGATAACGCCCCCTTGTGGGCGCTGCAGGCTTAATGGGGGGCGGTAATAGACCCAGAAAAAAATAGGGGCGTTGTGTAGAGGCTTGGGAGGCGATTTGTAATTTCATCTAGGAGAACTCGTAGGCACCAACTGAGCTCTCACTATAGTGGTTTTTAAGTAGGTAGAAAAAATGGGGGCGCTAAAAAATAATTTATTCTCAAAGTGGGCAGTAGACAAAATAAGTTTGAGAGCCACTGATCTAAGCAATAAAAATAAAAAATAAAACACTCCCGCGTGCGCGAATTTCCTGATCTTCACTTCTCAAGGTATGGTATCGACATTTAGACTACTACCGTAATACCGTGAAAATCGTTGGCTAGTCTGTCGAATAATTAAACTACTTTTACGGCTTAGTCGCGCTTTTTTATTCTTTATTTTTATTGTCGTCATATATTTGGAACGTTTCAAATACTTTACAGTTTTCACGAATGACATGTCCGTATAAAAATGCGAATTAAAACCGTTAAAGTAATTTTCATTGTACATATGACTCGCGAAAACCGATGAATAATAATACTACATATACTATATCATAATACTATGTATTTATTAATAACAATATTTCTAAGGAATTAATTGTTAGACTAATTAGCACTTTATTACGCATGCCGCACGATCGGACCGAAATGATTTATAATATTACTAGCTGACCCGGCAGACTGCGTAGTGCCCCAATCGATAAATAAAAGACCTAAACTTTTGCATAAAATAAACTTAAAAGAAACAAAAGGAATCCGTCCGACGGGGGACACATCAAAGGAAAAACAAAATTGCTATTTTTATTTCATTCCGAGCATTTTCATATTTATTTACCTTTTAAACCTTCCCTGGACTTCCACAAATAATTCAAGACCAAAATTAGCCAAATCGATCCAGCCGTTCTCGAGTTTTAGCGAGACTAACGAACAGCAATTCATTTTTATATATATAGATAGTATATAGATTAATTAGAAACAGGGCACATCAAAATATAACTCATAGAAATTTCGCGATTAAAAATGAACATAAAAGTACTTCTCAAATACCTATAAAAATTACTCACCCAGATAAGTGACGGCCAGAACCAAAACGAGGCTGGCCACTGCCGCTTTCATGTTTACGCTTCTGTAGAACAACTCAAATTAACCACACCGGGTCATTTGTTTTATATATTCGTGGTAATAGTTCGTTATCTGTGCTGTTTAAATCACTTGTTATTGAATTCTATATGGCCTTTTAATATTACGCTAATAATAACGGGCGCTAGTATGATTTTCTGACGCGACAGTTCAGTGCGTCCATAAAAATGGTGAATGAATTTTTCAAAAACTCAAGCTCATTAGGATGAAATTAATTCAGAATTAGTTTCAACAAATTGTGCATTTCATTCGATAAGCGATAGTCATATCGGAGCGTGACCAGGTTTCACTGGTCATTAATAAAAAATAGCATAATGAGAATCTGTAGGTTTTATTTGTAGACAAGTATATGGCCCACCTGCTGGTGAACGGTGAACTTTTTTTATAATTGAAGGATTACTGGTGGCCCGGAGGCCTTTCCAGTTTCACCAGGACAGGTGTGCGAGCAGAGGCTCAGCCAGGAGGGGTGGGATTTGCTAACAGCTGCCGAAGCGCCTCCGAAGGAGACCTAACAACTCAAGAGCAACTGCATCGCGAATGAATCTACTACGAACTAATGAAGATCCGCGAGAAACTCAGCGGGCTGATGCATGGGTTAGGTTGCACGTCGACCTCTTTGTCGAGTTCGACGAGTACGGCTACCGGGGTCCCTAATTCTGCTTCTAGTGTTAGAGCTGAAGGCGTGTCTAGGGCAAAGGTTATTGTATTTGATGGATCCGTAAGGACGTGTCTAGGGCGAATAGTGACCGTCGCTCATGGAATTCAACTATGCCAGGGCAGAGTCATCCTGCTGCCTACGTTATTAATGGCGGCGCATTAACGATGGCGGCATTAACTTTGTAATGTCTATGACTTCCTTTTACCGCCTTACAGCAAATGGTCCGTGACCTAGTAAACCCATGTAAACAGTTAAAAAAATTATAAAAATCACAATTATTTATTCTTAGTCGGACAGACTTGTCAGAGTAATTATGTTTGTAACAGTAGCTAGTTATGCCTACTGGTGGTCTTGCGAAAACTAGGGTACTTGATGACGCTGTCGTTAGCGCCCCTGACTGAGCTCAGTTCGGGCGGACTGGGTATTTGATGTTGAAGTACCTATGTATAGATTTAAATATATTTAAGTATGTATGTATATCAGTCTCTGGATCCCGCAGAAGCGGACTTACTGGTTTGATGTTTACTGTTAAAAACAATTGAATGAATTAAAAGATTCATGTGTTGTTTTCTTTAAAAATTTCGCCAACAACCCGACCACGAAAATGCTTTGTATATTACTAACAATTGTATGGCTCGTTCAACAAAAGTATTAAGTTTTCCTAATAAGTACGCTGTTGCTAAAACTAACTAAAGCTAACAGCATTCTTGGAGTTGTTACGGAGTACAAAGGTATTTAAGTTAGAATACATGAACTGAATTTTGAAGCACGATATATCAGAAATAAGCTCGTGTGAACGAAATAGCTCCATGGTCCAAATGTAACTCAGTAAATTAGTTTCTGCGTTGCGTAACTGGGAGCACTAAATTGTCTTGTCTTGTCTATCTTTGTCTTTGTCAGTTTTTTTTTTTGTAGTTTAGATACAGATGATTGCGTGTAGCTGGTCCTGCGTTATATTAATATTATATAGATATCCTAAAGAAAAAAGCGCTATGCGAGTGCACCATCTCGCAGAAGGAGGCGGCGGGTCGCGTGAGAGACGCACAAGCCCGCCGCCGTCGAGCGGGGGCAGGGACGCGGATCTCGCCGAAGCCCTGGCTCTCTAAGTATTTCGGGTCCCTCTCTCATGTCGGTCTGGGGATCGGCGAGGGGGGCTTAAGAAGACGACGTGCAACCTGCTCTGCACGCGTTTTACGCCAGAGCATCCGGGTGATGGAAGGCTGACTATCCTCGACCCACGCTGGTTCTGACCCAGCGGGGTATTCCGTAGGATAACCTATTCTAACAGGTGCCATCTGGGCGGGATTCGGATAGCCTGCTGACAGAGTACTGGCGGTCGTGGCGCCGACGACCGCCGGTCCGGAGTCCCGAGGAGGAGTGTAATGGGAGAGATGTGCTCCGTACTAACGCTTCACTCTCCCCCCTTAGCCTTATCATGAGTTCTGTCCCATGCAAGGTTCGGACGTGGGTTGTTGAGCGACAGGAGGTTTTAGTCGATAAGACTTCGACATGCCCCGCCCGCCATCCCCAGTGAAGGGCGGGACTGCGGCGATTTCCACCTGACCAAAAAAAAATGTATGTAATAAATATGTTCTAAAAACTATTTGAGGAAGCGAGTGAATTTGCCCGACAATTCGACCTTTGAGGATATTTTTTGTCAAATATTTTGAAGTCTAAAGAAGATTAGTGTTGCAAACAAAACTTAATTAACAATAATAAATGGAAAAACAATAACAATCTCATAATATTAAATACATTTAATTTGTCGTCAATAAATATCATTATTTCGTTATTTTGATCTTTGCAACTAACTCGAAATGCTAACTCGGAGTTAGTATTGTTCATTTGTCGTCGTGCTCTCGGAGTAAGCTGCGAGGTTCCTTCTCGCAGATAAACGGTGCCGGCTTTTCGCACCAAAGGTCGTTGAGTAGAGCCGAGCGGTAGATAGAGCCGCAATATTCACCAGTCGTCGCGTTACTAGGCTCGCCGCCAGACCATTTCTCGTAACCGGCCTCTTGTAATTTCTCACCTGAAATTGTATAATACGAATCAAGGATTTATGCTTCAATCTTTAAAAACACTCTGGAACATAGTTTTTTTTCGATCGGATCCATTTATGTTTTAGATTGTGATAATATCGTAGACTGACCACTAAAAATTTTGTACATATTTAAGGACAGCATTTGAGTGATGGAAAATTAAAGTACTTTACCCTAAATATAATTAATTTAACCAAAACATAATACACCTTTAACGTACAACACAGGTTCAAAGTTACAAGATACAACAAGTTGCAACAGCCTTCGGGTACCAGAATTAATTATACTCTCTGTTTGTTAACGACTACAACTTATTCACAACAATAACTGCTCTTTATAGTCCAGATCTCGAATTAAATTGTAACGATACACATGGTTTTGGCCACGGCTTTGAGTGGATACCGATTTTGAATTTCAAATATTTTTCTGTGAAAGTCGATAATTTTAATAAAAAAGTAACTCAAGAACTTCTATCAGGTTTAAAAGTATTCAATAGCACAGAAAAATTCACAAACCATTTATCGTTAACCATTCCCCGCGCTCATTCCAGTCGTGGAAGCCAATGAAGGCAACGTCTTTCCAGAAACTTCCGATCATTTGACCGGCAGGGTTCTTCGCGAAAAGGTCCCTTAGGAACGTGGCCTCCTTCTCGTTGTTAATAATGGTGAGGTATCCGCCTTCAGCTGAACAAGCCATGTAGGCCCGCGACCAGGTACGGGGAACTTTGTGGAACTTGTAACAATTACCAGTGTCTTTGCTGAGAACATATTCTGTAATTTAAAATGAAACGGGTTTTAACCAAACAGTTGACAGAAAAGTGAATAGTACAATCAATGTAAGTATATCTCCTCCTAATTCTTTTCTCGAATGCAAGTAGTAGAGTATTGTGGGTACTTGTAAGCCCGTGCGAGCCGTTACCACAATCTTATATTTACCGCAATACAATCTATATTCAGATGTAAAGGACCGGGTAACTAATACCATAATGCAATGCAATCGAGACTTGTTCTTTATTTCTGAAGTCTACGTTTTGGTAACCACTCCGATAGCACTAAATGTGTTGAGAACTCATCTATAACAATATATAATTAATCGCCTTCCTGTTTCACAAAAGCTTAAGTTAGATACTGACCGCTATCGACACTGCCACAAGAAGCCATTGCAAGAGTTGCAGTCTTTTTCTTATAGCAAACGTATTGGAACGTTTCAGTGCAATTAACATCGGCGAAGTTTCCATCAGGGTTCATGAGGATACAGTTTTCATCACCTCCAGCATTATCTGGTTCATAATCGGCCCAATCGTGAGGAATTTTCGCCAATGGGACCCCTGTTAATGATAGAAAAACACGTGTCTAAATTTAGAATCCACTATTTTACTTGATAGGCACAGTGTATGGTTTTTTATTACTAATAAAAGCTACGCCTTCAAATTTGTAGCTAATTGCGAAGTAATTTCAGTAAGTATAGTAGAAACTTGGTAATTCGAGTAAGTTGTTCCAGTTGCAATTGTCAGCTCCCTAAAGACCTAACTCGGCATTCAATCGTAATCCTATAATTATTACAGAAGCAGGTGACGGAGCCTGAGAGAGACTGCTCTTCTCTAACCCGGGCAATCGAACCGAAGCTGGGATAGAGACCTCGCCCGAATCCTGATCTCGTAAACCCGAGACTTCTCTTTCTACCGGCTCAAGACCAGTGATGGAGACACAAGAAAATGACATGTAAGCTACTCTTCACGTGTCTTTTGAAAAAGAAACCCGGAAATGGATGACCGTATTCCCGGACCCACACTGATTCTGGCCCAGCGGGTATCCTCGCGGTACAAATTGACACCACTATCTAGGTAGAATTCAGATAGAGACAGAGTAGCGCGGGGACATATGTACGAGGGCGGCACTGAAAATTTCGGGAATTAACGAAGTGACACAACATTACTATTTAAAAATATATTTATTGCTTTTCGAAGTATTCTCCGCGAAATTTGACACATTTTTCCATACGATGGAACCAATCATTGAAGCAACCATTCCATTCGGAAGTTGTGGTCTCCAAATGGCCGTTTTGTAGGCGTCCACAGCTTCTTCAGGTGATGAAAATCTCTGTCCACGCAATTTATTCTTTATTTTAGGGAAAGTATAGAAATCATTAGGGCTTAGGTCGGGGCTGTACGGCGGATGGTCTAATAATTCTATGTTTTCTTGCTCTAAAAACTCTTTTGTTCTGTGCGCGGTGTGAGAACTCGCATTGTCGTGATGGAGGATGATGCGGCGGTTGCAGTTCTCTTTACGGAGTTCAGAAACGACCTGTGGCAAACAAATGCTAGCATACCATTCTGCATTAACCGTTCTTTGTCCCTCAAGAGGAATAGTCGTAACATGGCCGGTTTTGGAGACAAACGTGGCCACCATTTTTTTTGCAACACTCCGTGAACGAACAATTTTTGTTGGCTTTAACTCATTTTCGAACACCCAAACTCGTGACTGGTTTTTTGTTTCGGGTTCGTACGCGTATATCCAGGATTCGTCACCTGATACAATGTTGTATACAGCATTTGAGGATCCTGCGTGGAATCTTTCGAGAGTTCTGACGCACCAAGTAACGCGAGCCGCTTTTTGCTCTTCACAGAGCGAATGCGGTATCCATCGGGAAAACAACTTTTTTACACCTAATTGTTCATGCAAGATTATTTGTATTTGACTCATGCCAATGTCTAAAGTTGCCTGAATTTCGCGGTATGTCACATGTCGATCTTCCTCAATCAGCTTACGCACAGCATCAACGTTTTCTTGGGTGACTGCAGTTTTTGGACGACCTTGACGGGGATCATCACTGAGCTTGACACGTCCACGTTGAAACTCAGCAAACCAGCGATAAATTGTGGTTTTGGATGGGGCTTCATCACCAAATGCAGAAATCATCCGGTCAACACACTGTTTTTGTGTTAAACCACTTCGAAAGTCATAATAAATCATCGCTCTTGAATTTTCTCGAGTCAATTCCATTTTCTCAACGACTAAACAAGTTTGACAAAACCTCGTGACAAGACCGAAAATCTTTTTTTAAATAAATAAATGGTATTCGATTTTTAAATCCAAGGAGTTTTCAATTAAAAAGATTTTAATATGACAGGAACAGTGGAAATATTCCATTCCCGATACTTTTAGTGCATCCTAGTAGGTTCCGAAACGCGTCATTTTGTTTCTGGCTTACCCAGGGTGAATTCAGTCTCGTTTGAAGCTTGAGGACTGGTGGATGCATTAGTGGGGATCAATAAGGTGTTTGAGTTTTAGACCGCCTCGTCTATCGCTCCCGAGTGGAAAACCGACTATTCCGGCGAGAAGGGTTGAAATTTTAAAATAATAATAAAGTTTAAAATCTCCAATGTTGGCTTACCTTCAACAGAACGGTAGTCTCCTTTAGAAAATGTCGCATGGATGCCGGTGAATATACCACATGAAGTCTTCTTGTTCTTTATTAGAGATAGCATGCCGCTCTTCAACGCATCGTCCAGAGGAGATGCCAAAAGGGACCCTATTCGTAAATATGTTTAAATTACTCATGACTTAATGAATTGGTTTTTTTGTACGATTTCTAAGCTTCGAGAACATTTTACTTAAATTAGGCGACAAAATCATGTTTTTTTATTAACGTGTTGTCTATTATTTTGATTGAAATTTTGTACCTTCAAGATGACATCTCAATCGAGCCTCCTGCCAGGTAGCTGGGATCTCTTGAAGCTTCAACCACCCATTTATGTCCCGCATGTACGTGTAGTCATAACGAAACTGCTGACCATCTACCAGAAAAAAAAAAAACAACAATCATAAGTGTATCCATATTCGAAACTGCGCCACGCCTCTTAATGTTTCATTGAAACTCGTGGAGGAATAAGGAGGAAGAAAAAAGGAGTATATAAGAATTTTCAAGGCGGGTGACGACATTTACGTTGCTCATTTTTATGGGCTCCGGTAAATACTACCCATCTAAATAAAAAAAAAGGATATTTTATAATAATAAACCCAAATTTGCAAACTTTTGTGGAAACAAAAACACAACAAGCAGAAAAACAATCCCTTTCAAATCAAAATTTCCTGATCTTCACTTCTCAAGGTGTGGTGTCCACATTTTGAAAAAATCGAATCGCGTACTAGTCTATGATACATTTAAAACTACTTTTAAGGCTTAATCGCGTCACCTTTTTAACTATCATATTATTTTAGAATATGTCATCGTATTACTGATGGTAGGACCTCTTGTAAGTCTGCATGGGTAGGTACCACCAGCCTGCCTATTTCTGCCGTAAAGCAGTAATGCGTTTCGGTTTGAAAGGTGGGGCAGCCGTTGTAACTATACTGAGACCTTAGAACTTATATCTCAAGTTGGGTGGCGCATTTACGTTGTAGATGTCCATGGGCTCCAGTAACCACTTAACACCAGGTGGGCTGTGAGCTCGTCCAGCCATCTAATCAATAATAATAATAATAATTAAAAAAAAAACGCTTCGAACACTTTCCGGTTTACACAAACGACATGTTCATATAAAAATGCGAGATAAAACCGTAAAAGTAATATTCATTGTACATTTGACTCCCGAAAACCGATGAATATACTACATATACTATATCATATCATAACACTATTTATTAGTAACTATCTGACCCGGCAGACTTCGTAGAACCTTAATCGATAAATAAAAGACCTAAACTTTTGTATAAAATAAACTTAAAACAAACAAAAGGAATCCGTCCGACGGGGGACACATCAAAGGAAAAACAAAATTGTTATTTTTATTTAATTCCGAGAATTTTCATATTTATCTACCTTTTAAACCTTCTCTGGACTTCCGCAAATAATTCAAGACCATAATTAGTCAAATCGGTCCAGCCGTTCTCGAGTTTTAGCGAGACTAACGAACAGCAATTCATTTTTATATAACTAGTCAGGTCGTAAGTATTGTCACACAGTAAAAACTTTTCTTTTAGAATGCTGGCCACAAAAAAGTTTATTGAATTCGAATTTCGAATTGTTCATGAAAATAAACTTGTTTCAATTATTTTACATTAAACATGTGACAGAATTTATGACCTGACTAGGTATATAGATAACATTACAAATAGTTTCACTAATATGCACTTTACTGCGCATTCCGCACCATCGGAACGAATTGAATAATTATAAATAAAAAGAAGCACGGCACACAAAAATCCAAATAAAATAAAATACGTTTAAAAATGAACATATCAGTACTTCTCAAATGCCTATAAAAATTACTTACCCAGATAAGCGATGGTCAGAACAAAAACGAGGCTGGCCAGTGCCGCTTTCATGTTTACGCTTCTGTAAAACAACTGAAATTAACCACATCGGGTCATTTGTTTTATATATTCGTGATAATAGTTCGTTATCTGTGCCAATTAAATCACTTGTTATTCAATTCTATATGACCTTCTAATATTAAGCTAATAGTTACGGGCGCTAGTATAATTTTCTGACGCGAGAGTTCAGTACGTACATAAAAATGTTGAATGAAAATCTTAATTTCATTAGAATGGAATTAATTCTGAATTAGTTTCAATAAATTGTGCATTTCGTTCGATAAGCAATAGTCACACCGGAGCTTGACCAGGTTTCACTGCTCATTAATAAAAAATAACACCATTATGCTGAATCTGTAGAATCTGTAGGTTTTATTTTAAGACAAGCTTACGGCCCACCTGATGGTGAGTGGTGACCGTCGCTCATGGACATAAACTATGCCAAGGTAGAGCCAGCTTGCTACCGTATTAACGATGCGGTATTAACTTTGTAATGTCTATGACTTCCGCTGACCACTTTACAGCACATGGTCCTTTTTTTTCCTACCTATGCTGATAGCCTTGAGAGGCTATTTCAGCTTACCCTAGCGTGTGTCGGTGGGCTCACGGGGCTCAAACCGGAGAGTTGCTAACACTGACCCTAGCAAGAGCAGTGCTTTGCAGAATCTACCACCGGATCGGAAACGCGACCCACTGAGAAGATCCGGCGAGAAACTCAGTGGGCTGTGTCTGTGGGTTAATTCGCTCGTCGAGCCCTTCGTCGCAAGCGACGGGTTCGACGAGGACGGTGACCGGTGCTTGTGGTGCCTAAAAGCACCGTTAATGGATCAGGAGGATCCGTAATGACGTGCTTTGGGTGACGTGGACGGTTTACCATTCGGTCTACAGGATCGTGTATATAGTTTCCAGCGGCCACGACAGGAGGGTTCTCATGTCGTGCCGCCTTCTCAAAATGGCGCAACGATGCTGACTGTAGGTACTTACTAAACGAGTCGAGCTCCAGGTCATCGTGGAGATCCACGTTCCTCAGGAACCATGGTGCTCCGACGGCTATCCTCCAGAATTGGGATTGAATAACTTGAAGGGATTTCAAGTGGGTGCGGGCTGCGTAAGCGAACACTACGCTTGCATACGTCATGACGGGGCGTATACAAGTTATATAGAGAGTTACCTTATTACGGAGGGACAATTTGCTTCGACTACAAAGCATTGGGTAGAGTCGTCCTAGTATAAACGCGGCGCAATCGCGTACCGTTTTAATGTGGGGACGGAATGTCATCCCTCTGTCCAGGGTGACGCCTAGGTATTTGACCTTCGAGGCCCACGGTATGGGCTGGCCAAAGAGAGTGATGGGGTTAACGGCGGAGGTGTTTGCGCGCCTATTAAGGAGTGGGATGCTCGAAGTGGTATTCGGAGGGCGACCCCTTTTGAAGAGCACCGCTGTGCTTTTCGTGGGGCTGATGTCAATGCGCCACTTCCGGAACCACTGTCCCATGGTGGTTGCTGCGATCTGGAGTCGCTGATGCAACAACGACATCTTTCTACACGAGTAGTAGATAGCCCTGTCATCAGCGAAGAGCGCTAGATGGGTCTCCGGAGACCGGGATATATCATTGATATACAAACTAAATAATAACGGGGAGAGCGCGTAGCCTTGCGGGACTTCGGCAGTCAGATGACGGGGGCGAAAGCGAGTTCCCTATACTCGATATCGAAACGAATGGTTCGACAAGAAGTCTCGTATGATGAGCACGAGTCTGTCTGGCACTCCCATGTTGTACAGTTTGTAGATCAAACCGTTGTGCCAGACTTTGTCGAACGCCTTCGCGATATCGAAGAAGAGGGCGCCGGTCGGGATTTGTTTACGCCTATTTAGCCCTATTAAGATGTGCTCCGTGAGGCGGTGTACTTGTTGTACGCACGAGTGCTTAGCGCGGAATCCAAACTGCTCGTCTATTAAAATTTTATTCGCGGTAACGAAGCCCCAGAGGCGTTTTCGAAGGAGCGGTTCGTAAATTTTGCCTATCGCTGGGAGGAGACTAATCGGGCGGTAACTAGTGGTTTCGTTTTTCGCTTTGCCCGGCTTATGTATATCGATAGCGTCCGCTTCTTTCCACACCGCGGGAAACATGAAGTGCGTCATAGCGGCATTTAAAATGGTAGCCAACATTGCTATCAGTTGGACTGGTAAGGGTTTTAACGCGCGGTTGCGGATGCCGTCGGAACCGGGTGTCTTTTTGGGTTGAAGGTTAAAATCGCTTCTCTAACTTCGTCAGAGGTAATGGGAGGTAACGCGTTCGAGGGCGGCAGGGAAGCTCTGCGCTCGACCTCCCCGTCGACTGACTCGGTGTGTTCGGAGTCCGCGTATTGAGTGCTGGTGGTGCACTGCTCTGGCAGTGCATCGGCCAGCAGCTCTGCCTTGTCATCGTCATCGAAAGCCGGTGGTTGGCCTGAGGGGCGTACGAGGGGAGGCAGATGGTCCGTGACCTAGTTAAACCACCTAAACATTTAAAAAATATGATTATACATACATTTTAATTTTGGTTTATATAAACATAATTTTGATTCGTCGAAGAACATAACTTTCGACCAATCTGCAATAGTCCAATTTAAATGGTTCTAGGCATATTTTAGTCTTGAAATAGGATCACCACGCTCCAGTTTAGGGTCATTTGCAGGTCTAAATGGTTTCAAATTAGCTTCAGCAAGTCGTCCATGCGCTTGGGTTACTTCTTCCGAGGCATCGAAACTGATTTGTAAGTTCAGTTCTTGTAAGAAAGCGATTACGAAGCATGGTGTTCACCAAGTATCGCTCTTCACGTGCTTGGTACACCTAGCTCTGCCTGTTCCTGGTTTACGTAGGTTAAAGCCATCTCCTCGGTTACGAGGAGTCGCTGTAGCTCCTCAGTGTCGCTGTCGACAGTCCTAGCTGTATCGGCTTGGCTCTGCCCTTGGCATTGCTGACGTCCATGAGCGACGGTAACCACTCACCATCAGGTGGGCGGTATGCACATCTGCCTATACGGCAATAAAAAAATTTAAAAAATCGCGCTGACTCCGGCCGGCTTTTTTTTTTTTATTGCTCAGATGTGTGGACGAGCTCACAGCCCTCTTGGTGTTAAGTGGTTACTGGAGCCCATAGACATCTACAACGTAAATGCACTACACACCTTGAGATATAGTTGTAAGGTCTCAGTATTGTCAGTCACGACGGCTGCCCCACCCTTCAAACCGAAACGCATTACTGCTTCACGGCAGAAATAGGCGGGGCGGTGGTACCTACCCGTGCGGACTCACAAGAGGTCCTACCACCAGTAATTACGCAAATTATAATTTTGCGGGTTTCATTTTTATTGCACGATGTTATTCCTTCACCATGGAAGTCAATCGTGAGCATTTGCTGAGTACGTATTTCATTAGAAAAATTGGTACCCGCCAGCGGGATTCGAACTCCGGTGCATCGCTCGATACGAATGCGCCGGACGTCTTATCCTTTAGGCCACGACGGCTTCTATCATTGTGAAGATTCTCATGCATTCTTCAGTTGTAAGCGACATGATTACAGGTTGAATAATAAATATTGAACACTATCAATATAGTTTATATACCCACTTAAATGACAGATTAGAAATAAAAGCAAAATGCCGTAATTTCGTAGTTCCATCTTCGAACGTCTTCCTTTTTTAAATTTGATTTTTTATGACATAACCTTGCAATAACTAAGAAGTTTTAATACCTTAATTTAAGGGGTATTTAATTGTCTACTAAACATAATTTATTTCATTAAGCTATCATTCTTAATTTCCGAGATTTATAGGTTTTTTTAAGTTAACCCATACTAACCGGGGCCATCTAGCCGGGCTTCGGATAGCCTGGCGACCGAGAGGGCTGGTGGCCGCCGGTCCGGCGTCCTGAGTAGGAGTGTGATGAGAGAGATGTGCTCCGCACTAAGCGCTTCACTCTCCCCCCTAGCCTTTTCATGAGTTCTGTCTCATGCAAGGTTTGGACGGGGGTTGTTAAGCGACCGGAGGTTTTAGTCGGTTCGACTCCGACGTGCCCCGCCTGCCATCCCCAGTGGAAGGCGGGAGTCCAGCGAGTTCCTCCTGACCAAATTTTTTTTAATAAATATGTTCTAAAGACTATTTGAGGAAGCGAGTGAATTTGCCCGACAATTCGACCTTTGAGGAATTTTTTTGTCAAATATTTTAAAGTCTAAAGAAGAAGAAGAATTGGTGGAAAGAGAACCTAATTAACAACAATAACTGGAAAAACAAAACCAACCTCATAATATTAAATACATTTAATTTGTCGTCAATAAATATCATCATTTCATTGTTTTGAACTATGCAACTAACTCGATACGTTAACTCGGAATTAGTATCGTTCATTTGTCATCGTGCTCTCGGAGTAAGCTGCGAGGTTCCTTCTCGCAGATAAACGGTGCCGGCTTTTCGCACCAAAGGTCGTTGAGTAGAGCCGAGCGGTAGATAGAGCCGCAATATTCACCAGTCGTCGCGTTACTAGGCTCACCGCCAGACCATTTCTCGTAACCGGCCTCTTGTAATGTCTCACCTGAAATTGTATAATACGAATCCAGGATTTATGCTTCAATCTTTAAAAATACCCTGGAACATAGAATTTTTTCGATCGGATCATTTTTTCTTGGATTTTGATAATATTGTAGACTGGCCACTAAAAATGTTGTAAATATTAAAGGACAGCATTTGAGTAACGAAAAATTAAAGTACTTTACCCTAAAAACAATTAATTTAACCAAATATTATACATATTTAACGTACAATACAGGTTCAAAGTTACAAAATAGCTCAGGTTGCAACAGCCTTCGGGTACCAGAATTAATTATACTCTCTGTTTGTTAACGACTACAACTTGTTTACAACAATAACTGCTCTTTATAGTCCAGATCTCGAATTAAATTATAACGATACACATGGTTTTGGCCATGGATTTGAGTGGACACCGATTTTGAATTTCAAATATTTTTGTGTGAAAGTCGATAATTTTAATGAGTAACTCAAGAACTTCTATCA